CTTGGTATCTAGCCTCTCATGTCCCCTCCAGCAACATGGGCTGGCTACTATTTTAATTTGACTCTAAGAATTAGCCATGGGTAATTTTTCAGAAGGAAAACTGCCAAGAGATGAGATTTAGTCTAAGGAACAAAAGTGGGCTATGAGGGTGATACGTGGCAATCCACAGGACTAATTTAAATGTACCACCAGCTGAGGCAGATAGAGTGTAGACGGTTGTTCTATAAAAAGATCTTAAAACATTAGTCAACCTAGTGACATAAGAGTGAAAAAGATAAAGACCATGGTGTATGCCATTTCATAATCAAGTTGTTAAAGCAGAGTATGTTTTTGATTCTCTCAATTATACTCAGAGGAATTCAAATTTTATTTCTCAGAGGAACTGAAGATTCAGAATATTAAGTTACTCCAGAGACATCACACCCCACTGCTGATTAAATACCTGCTACATGAATGTTTCCCAAGAACTTTAGATAGTAAAAGCTTGGGTGTAGAGCCAAGCCAACTGTGTTTAGGTTTCACCTCTACCACTTAACATCTGCTCGCATTATATAACTTTTCCATGTCTCAGTTTCCTCATCTACAAGAGGAGGATAAAAAGACGGATTATAAGAAAAATTTAATGAATACACAGGTATGACACTTAGCAACTTGCAGTCATAAGTGCCACATCAGTGTTGGATAGTAGACTTTGCAGCCAGCATTCCCATGAGCCAGGACAAATAGTCTTCTCCCTTAAACTCAATTTAGCCGTTTCTTCATTTTTCATACATTTGTAATCCTTCCTCTTCTCCACCTCCAACCAAGCCTTCCCAATTTAAAACAATCCTCCTGGGACAGGTGAGCTTTGAAATGAAAATGGGAATGAACTTGCAGGGTTTTCTCAGCAAGGTTGCCCAAACTTCAAGGTAAGAAGTAGCAGGAGGCGTGATTCCCTCACAGGAGCACCTGCTACCTAGAGCACAGTGAGAATGGGTGCCCTGTGGAGCTGATCAATATGCAGGCCCGGGTTCTTATTAAGTGTACAGATTACCAGACCTCTCTCCTGAAAATTGATTCAGGTGGTCAGGGTTGAAACCCAGGAATCTATACATTGAATGAGCATTCTAGGCAATTCTTCAGGGAAGTTTGAAACATTTTGGCGTAGGAGAGGTAGAATATAGAAAGTTTTGGGTGACAGAATGGGTAAAGACAAAATTAGGGGCTGACCTCAAGGAAAAGTGGAAAAACTCAAGCAAAGATGATCTTGAGTAAATTCGTAAGAAATGGTCCAGTAAGAGGAACAGGTAAGGAAGGACTCAAATACCAAGAGTAAGACATGGCCACTGTAGAGCAGTTTCTCTTTCAGGATGGGGTTTAAAGTCAACTCTTAGAAGGCATCTAGAAACTGGAAGTACCCTTTCTTGGACACTTTATCAGGTTTCCATGGTGGCATTGTCCAAAACCTAAGTAGCTAGGTTGCCCTGGAGGCAAGCGTGATGGTCAAATAGAAGTTGCAAAAATAGAAACCAAAGTTGGGAGAAACTCAGTGATTCCACTGCCTTGAATCCCTTCCTTGAAACCACTTCTTTGAGTCTCTTGAATCCCTCTGCCTTGGTGTCATATCACTGTTTCTCAGCTGTGGCCATCTATTAGAGTCACCTACAGAGCATTTTCCGAACTACTTTTCAGACCCTACCCCAGGATCAATTAAAGCAGAACCCTCAGAAGTGGGCCCTATCACTGGCACTCTTACCATTCAACTCCACAAGTAGTTTTCAAATGGAGAACATTAGCACATTAGAATCACTTGAAAGTATTTAAAAACTGCTGATGCCCGAGACCCAGTTTCGGGGGTTACCATTTAACTGGTCTTAAGTGTAAGCTTGGTAACCAGAAATGTTTAGAAGTGCACCAGTTATTTACAATGTGCAGCCAAGGTTGAGAATGACTCAGTCACACTTTTTTTTTTTTTTTTTTAAATCAACAACTAAAGAACAGACCAGTCTGTGGAAAATCAGGTGCATTTTGAAGTTTCAATCCATGGGTCTGTGTTGAGAGAAAACAGCACAACAGTAGGGTTTGCATAAGGAGACAGACCCTGGTACCAGCCTTCTTTCTTCCCTGAGAGGTAGCCCACTGTTCAGAATATACCTGCATTGTTCTGATCTTTTAATTTTTCCTTAAGTTGTTTGGATATAGCAGAGACATTTGTCTCTGTGATCATATGTGACTACTCGATTGTCAACTTCTAGAAGTCGAAGGTCTCCTGGGTTTAAGAATAGTGGGGGTAATATATAAGAGTTAAAGATTAAGCCTCCGTAATCTGTGTACTTGTAGGTTCAGTATCATTGGTGTCCGATTGACTTAATAGTAAAGGAGGGGTTATTGATTTCGTCTGTTAGATACAGGATGTGCAGGGATGGAAGGGCGATCAGGACTAGGATGATTGCGTGTAAGATAGTTCAGATGGTTTCTATCTCCTGGGCATCATAGATGATCCATTTATGGGCCCTCTAAGTCAGTAATTTCTTAATGTTCAAGGTGAAACAGCTCTATACAAAACGGCGTATCATGGTGGATATAAACACCAACATGCAATCTCCACTTAGAATTCTACCAGAGTTTTTCTGTTGTCCTGACAATGTAAGCCACCCCAAAGCCAATCTGTGATTTTTCAGACATTTCCTGTTAATTGCACTTGTCAATTGATGAAAGCATAGTTCAGGGGAAGTGGTGATCATACAGATTGAATTCATGGAATTAACGAACTCTATATAGAAAGGCACTTTTCTGATGCCTTATGGTGACCTTTCTGGGATGTAATGTGATTACGTGGATTAAAAAATAAAATAGTACAGAATGGATACATCCAAAAAATACTTAACTGGTAGCCATTAACTGCTTTTGGCATTGCTGCAGAGTCCATGGCACGTTCTTTTAAATGTCACTATTATTGAGAACTCTGTGCCTTGAAATATATGCAAATTCATAGTCAAAAGTAATCTAAGCCAACTCTTTTGAAGAGGGCAAGTTGTCAAAAGGGAGTAGTCCCCCTTTAGTTCTGAAACTTAGGGATCAAAAAGACCATAGGTAAAACAATAAGTAAAAATCAATACACATAGGTTTTCAAAAAATTGGGGGAGAAAGAATGAAGGGAAAATGAAAGGAGGGAAAATGAAGGGAGGGAAAGAA